GGCCAGGCCATGACTGATAGTGTTCCTCTGCTTTTGCTGTGTTTTTGGGATCAATGTCATGCTGAAATATGAAAGCAGTTAGACACTCCAGACTGTATTGCAATTTTCTGATTGTAATTTTCTGGATTCAGAATTCCATCCGCTTTGCCAAGATCAGCAGTTTGCAGCCCTAAACTCCCGTAGACATTCACTGTTGTACCTCTCTCCTGGCCACCTCCATACTTATCGATGATGATTTGAACGAAAAATGTCAAATATGCCATTGAATTTCAGTCCAGACTTTTCTCTCTGTTTCCATTCATTAAGAATGGCTTCTTGACAGCCACTGTTCCACTGAGACTATTTCTGATGAGGCTTCATTGAGCAGTAGATGGCTCGATTGAAGCTTCAGCATGTCTTTAGGTCCCATTTCAGGTATTTGCTGGATTTTTTATTTTTTCCTATTTTCTAAGGACATGACAAGTATTTGGCGTGTAGCTCCTTGAGAATCACCTTGTTTGTGCAAGGATACTATTTTATAACTGTCAGACTATGTTATCTTCTTTATAGATGTATCTAAAGAAATGGGAACAAATTGTGTTTTTTGTGACAGGCTGCTGCAGTGTTTAACAAAGTGCCTCAAGACCGTTTTAAACAGATTCTTTGCTAAAGTTCTGTGCCTTTTTTATCCTTGAAATGATTCACAAGTTATTGTTAATTGGGTAAGAAATAAACAAACAAAACAAAGCCCCCTGAAAATAGTCAGAACCAAGGACTTGACTGTAAATTACAGAAAAAAAAACAGCCAATGTGCAAGATTACAAGAAATTTTGGCTCCCTGGATACAAAAAATAAAGAACTAAGTTGTGACTCTAGACTTTTGCATGCCACTGCGTATGTACAATCCATGGTACATGTATAAAGATGAAAGAGTTTTTTGTCTCTTGTTTTACAGCTGAAAATCTTCCACTGGAGGCTGCTGGACTTGACAGATCCAGCTATGTGAGCTGCTCTGATGTGTGGATTCCTAAATCCATACAGTGCGTGGTTGAGACGGCTCTCAAGCTGGTCTAGAGGACAACACTATTACTGTGACATACATATCCAGCAGACCTGCAGCTGATTTAGCTGAGCAGGTGTATGTTGGTCAAAGTTGTAGCATAACTCCCCAGAGCTGCCTCCATCCTCCCTTCCTCTCCCCCTGCAACCCCTCATAGGACTACTATGCCACTGGGATTGGGAAGAAGGAAGAAGGCGTCCCCGCTGGTCGAGAACGAGGAAGCGGAGCCTATCCGCGCGGGTCTCAATGTGCCAGGTATGGAAGGCATCGATGGTGGGGTCGTCGGGCTGGGAGAAGGCGCCACCTCTGAAGGCCTGCCACCGCCACCTAACAGCATGCGGCCTCGCCTCATCTTCCACACCCAGCTCGCTCACGGCAGCCCCACAGGCCGCATCGAGGGCTTCAGTAACGTGCGGGAGCTTTACGCCAAGATTGGCGAGGCTTTTGGGATACCACCGTCAGAGGTAAGCCTTCCTGCAGACATTAATGGATTTGAGGATTTATAGATTTGCTCCAGATATGCTCGTGGCAGAATTTACCTGATGTTTGTCTTCCTTCACAGGTTATGTTTTGCACTCTGAACACTCACAAGGTGGACATGGATAAACTATTGGGAGGTCAGATCGGGCTAGAGGACTTTATTTTTGCCCACATTAAAGGCCAGAGAAAGGAGATAGAGGTGTTCAAAGGGGAGGACGCGCTGGGGTTGACGATCACTGATAATGGAGCCGGCTACGCTTTCATCAAGGTGAGGAATGTTTAAGTGATGGAGAAAGTGTTTTTTTTATTGACTCAAGCACCCCCGGGTAAAGGCGTGACCCCGGAATGAAAGTGAATCAATTACTTGCTGTAGGGAGAAAGCGATGAGCTTAATAGTGAATTGGATTTATTTATTTTTTGATGGTTTTTCAGAGGATCCGTGAGGGCAGCATCATCCACCAGATCCAGGTCATCAACGTGGGGGATATGATAGAGTCGATTAATGGCCACCGCCTTATTGGCTGTCGACACTACGAAGTGGCCAAGATGCTGAAGGAGCTTCCCAAAGGAAAGGAGTTCACCATCAAGCTGGTGGAGCCTCTTAAAGCCTTTGGTAGGTGCTGGAAGAAGATGCTTGAAAACCTAGTTTGAAGGGACCTGTTAGGGCTTTCCTTTTTTCCTATCATTTATAGATATATAGTTTTATATGGTGGGAATTTGGATAAAAATGTTTTTAAAAAATTACATTAGCATATTTCCCCCCCAAAAAACAGTCTGGTTTCGGCCTGCTCTTAACACATTGAGGGATTTTTGTACGCTTAGATCTGTAGGATGTCACTGAGGAAGAGACATCCTTTACATATGAGGGGTAGCCAATCAGAAGAAAGCTGGCTTAAAGCGAGGGGGAGGGCAGGTCAAACAGCTAGTTCTAGACAAAGGATTGAAGTTTTTGGCTGAGGCAAGGCCTAATATGAGGTAAATAAAGGTTATTTTGAACAGTGACTTGACACTTCTAATATAGAGCAACCCCACAGGGTGTACTGGTTTGTTTTTGTGCCAGGATTCTAGGTCTTGGACCCACCTTTTCACTTGCTCTCTTACAAATATATATTTCATCGTGCTAATAACATCCTTATTAGTACATCAGATGTCCTAAACAGAAACCTAGAGTGGTAAACGAACTACGTTTTCAGTTTTCCAGCTCAGGGAGTAATAAGTAGAGAGTAATAAAGAGGATGAAGACTGCCGCAGCAGAGGGAGAAATCTTTAATTATTTCTGAAAAGGTTTAATTCTGTTTTGTAGACATGATTAGCCAGAGATCTGGTGGGTCTAGGTCAGCTTCAGGGGTTCAGTTGGGGACCGGCAGAGGAACCCTTCGTCTTCGCTCTAAAGGGCCTGCCACTGTGGAGGAGCTGGTGAGCATGCCTGCAAGACCTGTGAACTAATAACTGGTGGTTGTACTGTTTAAATAAAATGTCCCATTGCTGTTCTTCTAGCCCTCTGCATTTGAGGAAAAGGCCATCGAGAAAGTGGATGACCTGCTCGAGAGTTATATGGGCATCAGAGACAGCGAGCTGGGTGAGTGTGAGTCCCTGATGGCTCTGTGAGTGTCTCACTTAGCGTGATGTGAGATAAAAAGATCTTATGTTTTTTTTCTTCCCCTCAGCGGCTACCATGGTGGAGCTGGGAAAAGACAAAAAGAACCCGGATGAGTTTGCAGAGGCTTTAGATGAAACCCTGGGAGACTTTGCCTTCCCCGATGAGTTTGTTTTCGATGTGTGGGGCGCCATCGGAGACGCTAAGGTCGGGCGGGTTTAACGACAGAACCGAAGCAGAACGACCTGCTTTGCGTGTGTGCTTGTTACACCCACAACATTGAGCACTACTAGAAAACCACAACACTACCGTCATGAGTTTGTTTTTATTCCACTGCGCACTCTTTCTATTTTTTTCAGTTTGTACTGTTTATTTTTGTTTGTTTTTGGGAGACTCATCCTTAAAAATGAGGATAATCCAGTAAACGGGAGAGGAAGGTGACTATGATGACTTCCAAAGTGCTTTTATTTGTCTTCCAGCTGTTCCCAGAAAATACGAGCACGCCAACGAGCATTTCCTTCGACTGCGTCACATGAACCTGCATGTCATTGTTGTAGTTGCTGGCAGTGGACCAAACACAGGGCAGGTTTCTAAAATGGGAGAAATGGCGAAACAGTGGCTGACACAGAGGAGATTGATATGGATCTTTTTTTTTTTTGGATTGTTGCACTGTGTTGCACGCGCTGTAAACAAACTACGGAAGTAAGCATGGATTGCACTGTACCTGGTGAGCGACTCTGTTATTGCACAAGCATGGGTCTCCCTGAAGTACAGTGTCGTCCTGAAACACTAAATGTTACTGTGATGGATCAGTTTTACAAGCATGTGCTGTTACATTTCTCTCCTCATAATGAATTCTGCTGGTTTTCCTTTTTATTTTTCTTTCTTTTCTTTTTAAGTAAAGGTAAAAGGAGTGTTCTCGGAGAGAATAGTAAATTGTAGCTCCTGACTAAAAAGACCAGAGGTGTTTGTTTACCGTTAACACACTCCGTGATGTAATGAAGTTAACCGTGCAGACTGTCTTTCACACATTTGACAGTGTTTGAGAAAATCAGTGTTCATTTACTTTCATTGAAGTATGTGCTAGGAGAAAGAGAAGAACGGCGGTCTCCAGCTTGTGGATCGTGTTGACTTGTTATTTTTTTATAGCCGGTGTGTTTTTTATATGAGGTGATGTGATGTCTATTTTAAAACAAGGTTTGCATAACTGACGAATAATGAAAACTTGTGTTGCAGTTTATTATGGAGAGCAGTATTACAGAAGAAGAAAGAAGTGATGAGTTGGAGTAGTTGTGTTTAAAATAGATCTGCCTTCATTTCTTCTTATTTCTTACATTTTATATACTTTGTTAGAAGTCTGCGTTCTGGTGCGTGCGATTGAAAAATGAGAACACTTGAAGCAGAATGGGACCAAATGAGTTTCATCTCCTGCAGTCGTTTGTTCACTGAAAGGAAAAAAATACAGCGGCAATGTTGCGCCAACTACTTGGTTTAGGTAAACACACGTCTTAAAGAACTCTGGGTGTTTAGCCTTTTCTGTATATCCAAATGTATGAAGCTATTTTGTAGTTTTGTTTGATTCTTTCAGAGTTCATGGATACCTAAATGGGTTATGATGCTAGAATACTGTAAAACTAAGGAGAATACATTATTTTGATGGCTTTGTATTACACCGGTGTCAGTGTCCAAATATAATGCAATAACATCCACACAGCAGCTGTCCTTCTGTTTCTTCTTTCATCAACTTAGCACAACAAACTGCCCCGTGGCGTCTGGTCTGAAAAATCTTGATTTGGATGAGTTTATTCAACACTTTGAGCCACTATTGTGAAACAAAGAGACAAAACTGCAACAAACCCGTAGTCTTTTCCAAGATTCTGAGAAACCGTGCCCGAGAGCACTTTCTGTGTTTGTGTTTCTTCTCACTCCTGTGTCTTCTTGAAATATAAATGACGTTTAACTAGACAGTGAACTAGGTGTCAGCAGGTAATAAGATCTCTCTGGGTCAACATGATAGTGCTGGTCAAGCTCAGCGAGGTCACTCACAGGCCTCAATGGAGGGAGGTGACAAACTGAAGAGCCGCCGATGTTCCTGCCACTTTATAAAGGGGCTTTTTCAGCATTTCTTTAATAGGATTTTCAGATGAGTTACTGCAGTTCAAACATTGCAGACAGGCCAAGTCTCACTAAAAAGTGCAAAGAAAGTCTATGAAACCAAACGTCAAATATAATTGCAATTAACAATGAATATTTTGTTAAACGTGACACTAAATTTGAAGCATGAAGATGAGACAATGACAGTACAAATGAGGAAAAAAACATTGTATTTAATGAAATGAGTAACAATAAGAGTGTGTGTGTGCGCGCTGCACATGCAAGGATGTGCTCTGTAACTATGAATGTCAGACATGGAGATGAATGAGGCTCTATTCAGTCTAGAAAATGATATTACTGAGAGGAGATATAGATGGAGAGATGTCATAAATAACTAAATAAGAATGACTAATAATAACAAAGATAATGATAATAAGGACAGTAATAGTAAATACGGGTAAACACATAAATAAAAGGAACAGAGAAATAGGGTTATGCATAATAATTGAGTAAAAACTATATCTGTAATTGGCTTGGATTTGGCCTTCCTCGCCACATCACCTGCTCCAGAGGGTCCCAAGAATGACAATAATAGCAAAATTACTTGTTTTGCCATTATTATACTTCAAGCTTATTTTTATTCAAGGTTTGTGAGTACACAATGTCTTTGTTCTAGTTTGAACAACAGACCTTTTACCAGGTAAGTGTTACCTTACCTGGTAAAAGCTTAAAGTTTAACTTTGGTTCACTATTACGACCTTTTTTCTACATAGAAGAATTTTCAATAGGCTGGACTGTGTCCAGTTTCCTAAGCTTCCCTGAGGCTAACAAATGAGGGGTGGTGACATGTCCTGTATTTACTACAAGCGAGGTAAACAAGTTCTTCAAGTCCCTGTTGCTCTATAACCTTGGTTGCTCATAAACTGTGTCCAGACTGCTCTCTGGACTCCCTGCAGGGTACTTACAGACAGCAGCTCCCCCTCCCACACACCCTACATCAAGAACCATGGCGTTGCGCCCACGCGCTTCCTCCCAGCCTTTAAAGCTTACCTTCTTTCAGAGTTCTAAGCTAAATTCGTTCCTGCGACCTCGAGCTGTTTCGTCACAGTCAGGCTCCATGCTGGAAGATGAGCTCTCCTGTCCTATATGCTGTGAAATCTTCAAGGACCCGGTAGTGCTCAAGTGCAGCCACAGTTTCTGTCGGGCCTGTCTTCAGCAGTTCTGGAACAAGAAGAAGGCCAGGCGTGAATGTCCTGTCTGCAGGAGGAAGTGCTCGCTGACTGAGCCCACAGTCAGCTTGGCTCTGAAGAATGTGGCCGAAACCTTCCTGAAGGAGCACGGGTGCAGGGGAGCCACAGCGGGAACTGGGGCTGGTGATACAGGGAAACAAGCAGTGACAGTAGATTTTAAGTGCAGTACACATGAGGAAGTTCTCAAACTCTTCTGTCTGGATGATTTTGAAGTCCTGTGCTGTGTGTGTCACACCTCCAAGAAGCACCTCGGACATCGAGTGTGTCCCATAGAAGAAGGTGCTCAGGATCTTAAGGTATTGTACTTTTGTTCCCTTTCCTGTTACCCACATCCAGCTTTAGCAGATGTCTACTTCGCACAGATCCTTGTTATGCTGGAAGGAGTTAAAAGGGAGTTCTTCCTTCCTGCTATCACCAAGCGCTTGCTTATAGAAGTTCACATAATAATTGGAGCTCTCTTTCGTATAGTGTGCGGTTTTCACCTTATGAAATAAACACCTGCTATTCTTAATTGGAGCTACATAAATACAGTTGAACTATTTGCCATTTAAGCAAACTACCTTTGACCTTTTAGTCCTCCTTTGAAAATGTCACTTTACTGCTTTCAAATTGAAGAAGGTGATACTTTTGCAAACTGAGAAAACTGTTAACATTGTTCAATGTACAATAAGATAAATATGACTCTTTATCCTCGCTCTTCAGGCAGAGCTGAAAAATGAGCTGATTCCTCTGAAGAAAAACCTGCGTTGCCTCTATGAAGCCAAGCAGGAGTGTGATGACACAACTGTGCACATCAAGGTATCAATAAACACTCAGATACCACGAAACACTAGAGGACATTGAAGTTGACGTAACAGTGACTGAAGTTGAGCAGTGCAATGTTAAGTGTGTAAATATGTCAGCTAATGTCTCAGAGGAGGTGAAATATACTTCTCAAAAAAGTTAATGTCTAACATCAAATCAGATAAACTTCCAGGATACTGATCTGGTCAGTTAAGTATCAGAGAGGGTTGATGGTCAGTTTCAGTTGCCTTGGTGTTAATTAGATTAACAACAGGTACTCTAGATGGGCAACAGTGAGGCAACCATCCAAAAACATGGTTTTAAAAGTGGAGGCCACTGACATTTGTTCCATTCTTTTCTGGTTTTTAATAGTTTTGCATTTGTCTAGGGTCAGTGTCACTACTTGTAGCTTGAGGCAATACCCGGATTGTACAGATTGCACAGGTAGTCCGGATCCTCCAGGATGGTACATCAATGTGCCATTTTCAGGTTTGCTGTCTCTCCCGGCGCAGTCTCAGTAGCGTGAAGGAGATTCCAGGAGAGAGGACGTTATTCTAGGAGAGGTGGACAGAGCCGTAGAAAGTCCTTAACCTGTCAGCAGGACCGCTATTTGCTCGTTTGAGCAAAGAGGAACAGGATGAGCACTGCCAGAGTCCTACGAAATAACCTCCAGCAGCCCACTGGTGTGAATGTCATGATGAAACAATCATGTTTAGGGAGTGGCACCATTGGCTAGGCAGTGGCAACACGAAGGAACTGATACCACTGACTGACCCTCACTCTCGCCTAACATAAATCCAACAGAACACTTCTGGGACATTGTGTTTTGGTATGAGCTGGTGGGTTGCACCTCAAGTCCCTTTTGAGGAAGTATGGATAAAGAAAGAAAATTAGACTAGAAATGAATTTTTACATTGATCCATATTCCCATGTGTAGAACCAGACTCAGGCCACAGAAAAGCAGATAAAAGAGGAGTTTGAGGAGCTGCGGGAGTTTCTCCGGAGGGAGGAGGAGGAACGGCTGGCCACTCTGCAGAAAGACGATAAGGAGAAGAAAGAGCTAGTGAAGAAGAAGTCTGACAGCATCGCCAGAGATATCCTCACCTTCTCCCATGCTGTCATTGCCATTGAGAACGAGATTGCATCCAATGATGTTAATTTCCTTCAGGTGAGCAGATTTTAACGGTTTTCCGCATCACATCCATGCCACGAAACACACTGCTTATAACTCTTTCTTTCCTTATTTCAGAATTATACAAACACAAAGAAAAGGTAGGAGGTTTAAAAAAGTATTTGGCAGCGTCATGCCAGCTTCAACGCTAGTGATTCAGCACTACTTTCTTTTTGTGTTTCTTTTACCTCTCACAGAGCACAGATCCCACCCAAGAATCCAGAAAAAGTCTCAAGTGCTCTTATAAATGTGGCCAAGCATGTCAGTTCCCTCAAGTACCATGTGTGGGAGAAAATGGTGGATCTGGTTCAGTACAGTAAGAACTCACGTGACTCTGTGACACATTCTTGTATACATCACCAAGGAAGATATTTTTTTTTTTTTTTTTTTTTTTTTTTAGAGATCTTTGCATTTAAACAGTTCAACGTATCTCGAATTTCTTTCTTCTTCTTAATCACTGACTATGTGTAATTTTTTAGCACCCATCACCTTGGATCCTAACACTGCCTACTCCTGGTTATCCCTCACCTCGGATTTGACCAGTGTGGCCAACAGCGGATCCCTGCAGCAACTCCCGGACAATCCTGAACGGTTTGGTCATTTTGTGTTTGTTCTGGGCTCAGAGGGTTTTACATCAGGCCGTCACGCCTGGGAGGTAGAGGTGGGCGACAAAGTGGAGTGGATGCTCGGGGTGGTCAAAGAGTCCATTGACAGGAAGGGCCGCATCTCGGGCTGTCCCGAGGGCGGCTTTTGGATGGTCTCATACTTTGAGGGGGAGTACTCAGCCATGACGAGGCCCAGCACCCCGCTGCATCTGGAGGGGAAGCTAACTCGAGTAAGGGTGCAGCTGGACTACGACTCTGGAGAGGTCATCTTCTCCAACCCTGTCAATATGACACCCATCTACACTTTCAATGACTTCTTCACTCAGAAGTTGTACCCCTTCTTCTGCCCTGGTGCTAACATCAACGGAAACAACCCCAAACCTCTTAAAATCTGCCCCGCCAAGGTGGCTGTGTGGAACAGCGCGACGTGGTGATTAGTGAGGACCTTAGAAAGGACATCAGTAGAATTGAAATTCATTATATGACCCAAGTGTGAATCAAATGATTAAGCAAATTATGTCAGTGCATGATTGTTGGTAAAATGAGCACGACACAAGCTGAGTGATGACAGCAGTAATTGGTTTATTTCACTTGGGTTCATTTAGTGATTGACTGCAGGTTACGAAGCCAAAAGAGGCTCTTTAGAGTGAACAAGGGGACGCAGTTGCAATAATTATGCAGCAAGGCTCCATTATACTTCTCAGCCAGGCAGGCTGTCACACTAAGCATCTCCTGCCTACTGTCATGAACATCAATATCCCCCTAGTGGTTCCTCACACTGGAACACAATTATTTTCACTTCTAGTTCAAAAAAACACAAACAACCTCATGCGAGTGTCACAGATGATTTGAGTTCTGCTTTTTCCTGCCCGGGTCAAATGTGACACAGATCTGTCATTCACTGCCGGTATAATCATTAGAACACACACTTTCACTCATCTGACCTGGACTTTTTTCATTCGTGATCATTCTGAATTTAATGGCTTTGCAACAACTGTTTTATAAAATATTATACAGTTTTAGTTTATCTAAGTGTGTCTTTAAGTCTTTAAGTTTTGTACAGTGACTCCTGCAACAGCTTGTTTTCCATGCAATGATGACGCATACACGCAACCATTGTTTGTATAAATGCTGAACATAATTGCTTGGTAATTGTCCTTAATTAATAAAATGATCATATTCTGAGACCACTCTTGTCCCTCTACATTATTTTATTGTGTCCTTTATACAAGATGTAACTGGAAACTTGATCTCCTCTTCTCCACACATGGAACTGCCAGGTTGCGACACTGAAAAGGCTGTTTTGTCCTCTCCTGTCGGAGAGGAGAAGGCTGGTACAAAAATGTCAGTGCAGAGGTTACATGTTAGTAAGATCAAGCTTTTGGGTGGCAGATCACTTACCTTTATGCTGCAAAAAGAAATGGTAGGGATGATGATGCATGCGATTTTAGATCTTCTTCTAAAGGGGAAATGCAATCTAATGATGAGGACCAGAAGGAGCAAGAGTTAAAGTCTGCTTTTTCTAATTTAAAAAATACAAGACAGCTTTAGATATAGTATTTTATCCTCCTCAGTCCTTATTTTGATGCTCAACATTATTGTGGACTTTAGTCTGCATGTTCTCTAGCCTGCCACCCTGCAGGGGGCCTTTGGTCAGAACCCCTGCTTTGTTAATCAGCAGGTTGAGACCCACTGTATTCACCAGGGAGACCTCCTGCTGGGTGTACTGTTTTATGCAACAAAGGTCAGTGGCGTCTGACAGAGAAAGAAAGAAAGTGGAGCATCAGGGGCGGTCAATAGTGAACAGTCAGATAAATATCAGAACAGTGGGCTAGTGGTGGAGGCGGGGCCTGTTTGTTCCCTGGTATGTACAGACTATAACAGGAGAACACCCAATGATCAGGCATAACATGACCACTAAAATGTAGCGTGAATAACACTCAGTATTTGTTCATCATGGCGGGATTTATTAGGGAGCAAATGAACTTTGTTCTCAAAATTGATGTGTCACAAGCAGGGACAATGGGCTGTTTGTCAGAGCATCTTCAAACCTGAAGCTCCTGTGGGGTGTTCCCAGTCCACAGAGGTGAGTATCTATCAAAAGTGGTCCAAGGAAGGGACAATGGTGAGCCAGGGTTCACTGATAAACAAGGAGATTGACGGCTGACCCATTTGGTCCAATTCTAGAGATAAGCTAACGTAACAAATTTCTGTAAAAGTTAATGGTGGTTCTGGAGATGTCAGAATACATAGTGTATCGTAGTTTGTCGTGTATAGGGCTACATAGCACACACCAGTGTCCGTGTAGCCCGTGCTGACCCGTCCCAAAAATGGGCACAACTGGACCATAAAAAGGAGCACAATAATGACTTTGAGAAGCTGACTTCAATTCAATTCAATTCAATTTTATTTATATAGCGCCAAATCACAACAAAGGTCGCCTCAAGGCGCTTCATACATACAGAGAAAAACCCAACAATCATATGACCCCCTATGAGCAAGCACTTTGGCGACAGTGGGAAGGAAAAACTCCCTTTTAACAGGAAGAAACCTCCGGCAGAACCAGGCTCAGGGAGGGGCGGGGCCATCTGCTGCGACCGGTTGGGGTGAGAGAAGGAAGACAGGATAAAAGACATGCTGTGGAAGAGAGACAGAGGTTAATAACAGATATGATTCAATGCAGAGAGGTCTGTTAACACATAGTGAGTGAGAAAGGTGACTGGAAAGGAAAAACTCAATGCATCATGGGAATCCCCCGGCAGCCTACGTGTATTGCAGCATAACTAAGGGAGGATTCAGGGTCACCTGGTCCAGCCCTAACTATATGCTTTAGCAAAAAGGAAAGTTTTAAGCCTAATCTTAAAAGTAGAGATAGTGTCTTTCTCGAATCCAAACTGGAAGCTGGTTCCACAGAAGAGGGGCCTGAAAACTGAAGGCTCTCCCTCCCATTCTACTTTTAAATACTCTAGGAACAACAAGTAAGCCTGCAGAGTGAGAGCGAAGTGCTCTAATAGGGTGGCATCCAAATTCCCCAGATCTAAATCCAAGTGAGCATCTGTGGAATGTAGTGTGTAAACAAGTCTGATCCATGGAAGGCCATTTGCTGCCGGTAGCACTGGAACATTCAAGGTGGATGGAATAATGAAAGAGGAGGACTACCTCAAAATTCTTCGACGTCACCTCAAACCAACAGCTAGGTTGTTGACATGTAAACACATTTGGGTGTCTCAGAAGAACATTGATGCTATTCACATCAAAACTGGTTTTGAAGGCTTCTGGACTACATCCCACAGTGGAAAAAAACAGTTCAAAGAAACCATTAAAAAACAAAAATATCAAGATATTCATGTATGTAAACTTCTGAACACAGATGCTGTAGTGCCCTCACTCAGTTGGACAACAGGATGCTTCTTTTGTCACCGTTTCCTGTGTCTGTAAATACATAGAAAGAAATTTAAACAATCACAAGATGCAATCCATCAGTTATACTATTTTTTTGTCTTAGCTGCATTTTTGCTCCATCTCCTGTGACATCATTTTAAACACATTTTCTATTACAGTTAGGGAGCAGTTTACTGCGACTCCTATAAAGTGGCACAAAGGTTTAGGGCTGTTACTTCAGCTGTGGATTCATCTGACTTCCTGCGACAGTTTTCTCACTGGGTGGGGGTCCTCTGTTGTCTCCAGTGTTAAGCATGCTGACTGGCTGAAGCTCCATTTCCTCTGCCTCAGTTTGCACAGTTTAAGCTTTCTCATTCAGCCTCAGCTGACTGTTTAGTCTTTAGCCTGGACACACCCATGTTTGTTCTGTCGCTATGCCTGCATAATATCCATTCAATATGACAAGTAAAGCATGTGCACAGGGGCCCTATTTTGAGGCTTTTCCAAGATAAAATAAACTTAAGAGCAAGAAAAGACACATATAATGGCAAATAAAAGAACCCAGACATGATGATGGTGATAACGTGTAAAACATGCTGGATGAGGAGGAGGATGAGGAGGAGTGTGATTCGTGTTAGTCTTTTTTTCCAAAGCCCAACAAGAACAACATGTGCAAAGCAATGAAAACAAAGGGCTTCGTGGTTATGAGAAGAAAGGAACTCACCCAGTGAGATGACCGTTGGTTAAAAACACACTGTCCACATTAACTTAACTAACAGCACAGACACGAGGGGCCGTGGTAGACTTATGTAAGCCATATGGGTGCGCAGACCAACTGCTAAAACACATGCAGCAGTATTATGCAGTTGTACGTGAGCTCGGTGACATTACAGTAGATGATTTAGGGCCATTTAGTGTGACTCATGCACAGTGTTGATGTAGCACAGCAAAAATAGCTTCTGAATGTGAGCTCAGTAAACCACACAAAAGACTGTCAGACAATTAAACGATTCATTTAGATAAGAAAATAATGTGAAAGCACTGATGTCAAGTAGTTTTCATCAACTGTGTTAAGCCCTTAGATTCCGTGTCTGGCATTACAAACGAATAAAAAAACAGCAACAAAGCAATGACAAGCTGTATGGAATGCCTTTAATATATACATATTTCCACCTGTTATAATGGCACTGAAGCTACAGCAGTGGTGTTGGCAGGGATTTGTATTCCCGGCACATGATTGCGCCATTTCTGTGTGAAACGGCGCACTCTGAATATCTGGCAAAAGATTTACAGAGGCTTGCAAATCCTTGATAAACAAACGGCATAAATGTCCACAGTAACAAATGATTTACTCTTCAAAAGAGGAAAAAAAATGAACCTCGTGTGTGGAGAGTGATCTGAACAGCACGCCGTTCACTCGTTTTGAGAGGAATAATCTTCTTCGGAAACCAAATTGCACAATAGGTTTAAAACCTAAAGAAATGTCTTGTGAAGGTGGATATTTATAGCAGCGTGCAATAAATATAGCAACAAAAAAATATATATTGTGAGGCTTATAATTTAGCTTCAAAACGGACAGTCTCTCAAATTGATGTTTATAGGCTTCACAATGGTCGTATTTCTTGCAGGGCTCGTCGTAAACTGGATGGCATGACACTGGAGTCTCTGTACCTTTTATTCTGTCCGTCCCCTGCCTCTCTAACATGCGTGTCAGCAAAAGCAAGCTGGCAGCAGGACGGCTCACACGGACACTGACACAAGCAGAGGGAGGTTTCGGGAAGAAAAACAACAAATGTGGGTCAGATTTGTTCAGAGAGGACTCGCATATGTATATTTAAAAAACTATGAGAAACTCAGACAACAGTGTGACCGAATGCCCTGCACTGATGATATAAGCTTGCTGTCCATTATTGAGACTGGTGCTCTTTGGATTCCTCCGCTGCTGGTGAGCGTAAACTGAGCGTGTGAGCGAGAGGTTAACAAAAAGAAAACTCCAAAACAACCCCCTCCCAGAAAATCTCACGAGGGAGGGGTGCAGACTGTGGTGTCTTCTTGAAATACGTCGAACGACAAAAGTGTGACAACATGGGAAAGGACATAACAACACATCCCTTGACTTTCATTTGGCAGCAGCTTCCTTTGGCTGTCCGGGTTTGAAATTGGCAGTGTCTTGCTTTCGATCCATAAGCATACGCACGCGTACTCACTCACACGGTGCAGCCATACATACTCACAAACATACATACAGTACATGATGCAGTACATAACATGCACGTACACAGATATAAATACGTAAAGGTTTTCTTTAAATGCACTTCTGTGTCCGCAGCTCTCCGCTTTGAAAATAGGAAGGTGCATAAATAAAACATTCCTATTATAGAAAAGGTCCATGCATGCCTGGCACCTCTGGGTTTGCTGAGACTGAATGTGGAGGAAATATGAGGGCTGTGTGCCATCTGGCTGTATCCCCTCATATCTCACCACTTCATAAATTATGCTTCTTCTTCGTGATTGTGTCGTTTGACTCTCGGGCAGTGTTTGGACAGTACATTAGTCTCTCTTGCTCTCTCTCTCTCTCTCTCTCTCTCTGTCTTTATTTATTTATTTATTTATTTATTTATTCATTGTCCTTCACAGATGGGTGCTGTCCTGCGTATCGAACCTGTGGCTCTCTGAGAGCCCGGTGCTGCACTTCCTGCTGCTCCCTTGATTAGGTACCAAGGAGAGGGGGTCTGGCCTGATCAGGTACCTGGAGATGGGACAGAGGACAGATAGACCACAGTAGTATTTGTCATTTTTAGTGCTG